CGAGGGTAAATTTAATATAGTTGTCCAAAAAATTCGTTATATAAAAATTCGCTATAGAGAGGTATGACTGTATATCTGTAATGCAATTAGTTATTGCTTGCACTACTACAGGATTTAAACCAGAATAGTAATTAGTTTTAACTATTTTGCGGATATAGTGAAATTATAGCAATTTATAGCATTTTTAATGATTTTAAAGACTTATAGCAATTTTCAGAAAGTATATTATAATAAAATATCATATTCATTTTTATGGATAAAAACAAATTTTTTGATTCAGTTAAATTAGACCCGATCACTGTGGATGGCTAAATTATAAAATTTTATCACGTGAGATCCCTGCCAGTTCTATAACAGTTCCAGGATAGTTTTAGATACTAGCAAATTTCTATAAATCATAAGATGATTGGTCAATTAGATTTTGCATACGCAGTAACTAAATTACTATTATTCAGTTAAACGTTATTATGTATTTTTCTTAAATGAAAGTATAAATTGGAAATCATTTAGTTTACTATCATGAGAGTTAATAATTACCTGAATAACATATGTAGATTTATAATTACATTTGCAAAACACACACATTTTAAAAATCAATTAAAATATTCTTTATAGTAAAGTAATATACAAGAAAGTACTAGCCAGCTATGTAAAATAATGAAACTATTGAAGTAGCAGGTTATTTCAAGAGAGGAATCTGCTAAGCCATAACTCATATATTAACAGTTTCTTTTTCACTACTCAGTAGTTATATAAAAGACTATTATCTATCTAAGCACCTAATTTTTCTAAGTTTTTGCTATTTAAATTTTTCCTACAATAAAAATTTTTATCGTATTTTGCCCAATTACTTTCATCTCAAGTCTAAGAATATCAACTAATGTAACCCCACATATTTGATCTAAAGAGTAATCATTCGCATTCTTAATCCTATTAAAGATTTCCATAAATTATTCCTAGATCACAAAAATAATATTTGCAAATTTTTGGCCTAAAGAGCTTGAAGATGAATTAGTTGAAGAGCCTCACAAATCAGTTTCAGATTCATTGGTTAAATTATCTTCAGATTCATTGAATACACTTCATATAAGCTGATTTGGCTCATTTCAGTTATAATATTACTTTATAAAATAATCAACTGTCAATCATTACTATTTTACATTACATATCATATTAACACATTTATTTTATTTATTATATATCACCAATCAATTTCAATACATCTATTTTATATCATGATATATGCCAATTATTAAAAAAATAATAATATATATACAGTCCCTAGTGAAAAGAATAGCAGTAATAATACTACATTGATTTTAGGTCAAAACGTATTCAGTTTTCTGATTTAGGTTATAGTTTATATGACTAAATCGAGCAATAGAACTCCAATTTAAAAGAATAAGACAAATTTGTTTTTGTTTTTATTTTGATTTGGATTTCATTCCCATGACCATGCTAAGTTCCCTTGAAATAAAATGAAATTCAGTATTAATACTCTTGAACCAAAATGTGCATAATGCGAAGGAAATTTTGCAATGATTATGCATTCCTTTACGCATATGTGGCTGATATGTCAGTTTACTACATAAAACTGGCAATATAATTATAAATCATTCGATGTATTCCTTATCACAATCTAGCAGGAATGGAACAAGCTCGATAATAATGTGTTACTTAGATGTATGATAGCATGTCATATTGGATTAAAGTATTTATCGATGCAAAAGGAAGTCGTACAAATATTAATTAATAAAAATTGCTTTGTTAGTATCGGCAATTAATTAAAAAAAATTGTATTTAAATAATAAAGATTTTACATACTGTTTAAAATTATATCAGCCATTCTTTTCGTTAGAAACTGTATATATTTTTTTATTAATAAAAAATAATGGGTTTTTAATTTTCTCTATTATTGATATCAATGTTTAGCAATAATCTTTTTAGGAGTATTGTTAATTAAGTAAAATATTTAGCGATTTTCAAAAGACGTTATATTAAATACTACTGATTTTTATTAGTTTCTCCACCCATAGTTGTACCTAGTGAAACCTGATGAAATTACCTTTCTTAATATGACAAAATTGACAATACCAAAATAACGAAACTAGTTTTTTATTAATGATGAAATTATTTTACTTAATTGCCAAAATTATATTTAACTTGATCTAAATTCTTTGAATTAAAATACATTAAAAAATATAATAATTTTATATTTATACATATAAAAATATTAAAGAGACGAAACTTTGAAATTACAATTTTTCAAAAAAGAGTTTAGTCAGGTATGGTATCACTAGTTATATCCCAAAAAATAAAATATTATATTAAATTTTTTTCAAGAAAAAAAAAATTTATTTTTGTATTTTGGAGTTTTTAATTTGAAGAAATATTGGGAAGGAATTAATTTTGTTTTAAGTTTCTATTATAAATAAAAAATATATAATTTTTAATACCTGATTGTGATTTTTTTTCCCTATACTTGAAGCAGATAAAATTTGTAAAGAAAGATCTTTTCTTTTAATTGATACAAAAACTGAAGTACATGTTTTGCAAAAACATGCATGTAAAATGTAACATCATTTTTTTGATATAAATCAGAAATATTAATGGTACTATTTACTTAACCTTGAGTTAAATGGCAAAACATACAAATCCAATTTTGAGCATCAATTTCAAATTGATCAATTTCTTGATCTGAAAGGTATTCTTTACGTAAAATTATATATAAACAATAAAATTCTTTCTACAATTTTTCTATATTTTTTTTATGAGTACCTAGAATAAATTGTGAAACTAGAAATTTTCTAACATCTTCTTTTTATTTAGACCCATTAAAGAAGTCCAGTTCTAATGATTAAAAAAATTCAAAATGAATTTAAATATTTTTAAATGCTAATTCAATTTCTGGTCTAATTTGTTTTTAAAATTCTTTTAGATTAAATAAATCTGTAAATAAACAATCCATTAGAATATCTGATATACATAAAAGCAAATCTAATTCATTTGGTATATAATTTTCTTGATTAATTGCTAAAAACAAAGATATCTTTTTTTTACCTAATAATTAAAATCATTATATAAAATAAATTTTACAGTTGGCATTAATTTAATAATATATTAAGTAAAACTTACATTTTGTGTTTTTTGTATTATTCCATACTTTATTCATATCCTATCGCAGGGTTGGCATTTGGCCATTTGGCCAGTGTTTGGCCATTGGCCGCGGCCAAAATGGCCAAAATTTTTTTCAAGTTTTGGCTGGCCAAATTGGCCAAATATATATTT